GGAGAGACTCTACCAGGTAAAAACCTCTTAACATCTCGATTCTCAAAAGTTTCCTAAGTTGACATTTTCTCTCGTATCCGGGAACATATGACACACTCTGAAACTTTATGGGAAGACCAAGATAATTTTTGTTGGAAATGGAGTCAAAATTACACTGAGACTACATAATCAAGACGTATTTACTTTGCATCAGTTAAGTAATAAAATTAACATAATTATAGTGTGTTAAGTAATCTTGGTCAAATTAATATATCCAAAATGTCATCATCACAGTGAGATTCTAACTTAATATGAGACAATGTATCACACCTAAGAGACAGAGAATCATAAACTTTCACAAACATTATACTGAGATTCTACCTAAACTTGGCATTAAATTCGTGTATGGAGTCAGTGTGAAGCCGGGGTCAAGGGTAGTACAGTATATCAGCGTATATATAAGAGACACGTGAGGCCGTCCTCCCCCACTGAAGGTGAAATACACACTGAGTTTAACGCCCCATCAACCTCTTATTTATGGTGAGTTGTGTCGGTGATGGTGTGGGGAAACTCCGACCTGTGCTAGCTGTTGGCCAAGTCCAAATGTTCCTTCTGGTCAGTTTTGTGCTCTCTCTCTCTCTCTCTCTCTCTCTCTCTCTCTCTCTCGCTCATCCTTTAAATCTGTTTTCCCTTTCATTTTCTCCTCCTCCTCCTCTTTACTCACTACTCTTCCTTCTCTCTCAGTCCTTTCTGGTCCTCTCTCCTCCTCTTCCTCTCCCTGTTCTTCCCCTTCTCCTTCTCCAACCTTCTTATCTCTCCCTCCCGGCTCCTCTTCCTTCTCTCATAGCCCTTCTCTTTCTCATCTTGTACACCTCTGTTCTTTCCCCTACCTCCTTCCTCGTCCTTTTCTTCTCTTCTATCCCCCCCCCTCTACCTTCTCCCCATTCTTACTTCCTCCTGCCTCCTCCCTCCTCCCTCTTCCTTCCATTCCTCCTCTTCTCCCACCTCCTCCTCTTTTCCCCCTTCTCTCCTCCTTCCCCAAGAGGTGTAGTGTGAGGCAGTCTTTCGGGTCATTACAGCTTTGTCGTCTTTGTTATTAACCCGACAACACTTTTACACTTGACCCATAATAACCTGATTCATGGTGTGGTGATGGTGTGGTGATGGTGATGGTGATGGTGATGGTGTGGTGATGGTGTGGTGATGGTGTGGTGATGGTGATAGTGTGGTGTGCTGATGTGGTGATGGTGTGCTGATGGTTTGGTGATGGTTCCTGCTCCTGCCTGGTGTAGTGGTGATGGTGTGGTGATGGTGTGGTGATGGTTCCTGCTCCTGCCTGGGTGCGGTGATGTGGTGATGGGTCGCATTGCCTGTGTAGTGTGATGGTGTGGTGATAGTTCCTGCTCCTGCCTGTGGTGGTGATGTGTGGTGATGGGGTCGGTTCTGCCTGGGTGTAGGGTGGGTGTGGTGATGGTTCCTGCTCCGCCTGGGTGTAGTGGTGATGGTGTGCGATGGTCTTGCTCCTGCCTGGTGCAGTGGTGATGGTGTGGTGATGGTTCCTGCTCCTGCTTGGTGTAGTGGTGATGGTGTGGTGATGGTCTTCCTGCTCCTGCTTGCCTGGTGTAGTGGTGATGGTGTGGTGATGGTTCCTGCTCCTGCTTGGTGTAGTGGTGATGGTGTGGTGATGGTTCCTGCTCCTGCTTGGTGTAGTGGTGATGGTGTGGTGATGGTTCCTGCTCCTGCTTGGTGTAGTGGTGATGGTGTGGTGAATTAATAATAAACCTACTAATAATTATAATAGTTAAGTCAGTTTGCTACATTATTATTTTTCTTTATCTCCTCCTTCTCTCTCTCTCTCCCATCCCCTCTCTCTCCCCTTCCCATCCCCTCTCTCTCTCTCCCCCACTTTTCTCTCTCTGGCCTCGGGAACACATTTCTCGTCGCTTGAGTCAAAAGTTCGGATCACCTAACCTAACCTAACCTAACCTAACCTAACCTAACCTAACCTAACCTAACCTAACCTAACCTAACCTAACCTAACCTCAACTCTAACCTAACCTAACCTAACCTGTCTGTCTGTTTGTCCATCTGTCTGTCCAACTATCTGTCTAACTGTTAGTCCATCTATCTGTCTGTCTGATAGTAACAGCTTCCCCGAATTAATTAAAACTTTACTGTTGAAAGTTACGTTAGCGGGAGGTCCGTTAAATAATGTTCAATTACCTTTAAGATAAATTGGTGTGTCTTATTGTTTTTATATACACATGAGTGTTTATGTACAACCATTCATGTATGTATGTAAGTATATGAGTAGAGCGTTTATTCTAGTGTGTGTGTTTGACTTGCCAGGTTACACACTACACTACTTCAAAGGCTCCACCTGACAGTTCATTTAAGTTTGTTAGTATTTGACAGAAGGCGCAGCATAACTCTGTCCGGGGAGTGACTCTCTCTCTCTCTCTCTCTCTCTCTCTCTCTCTCTCTCTCTCTCTCTCTCTCTCTCTCTCTATCTATCTCTCTACACAGTCCATAGCATCACTATACATCATCACTATAGTTCACATCATCACTACACAGTTCATAGTATCACTACACATCATCACTACACAGTTCATAGCATCACTATACATCATCACTATAGTTCACATTATAACTACACAGTTCATAGTATCGCTACACATCATCACTACACAGTTCATAATATCACTACACATCATCACTACACAGTTCATAGCATCACTACACGTCATCACTACACAGTTCATAGCATCACTACACATCATCACTACACAGTTCATAGCATCACTATACATCATCACTGTAGTTTACATCATCACTACACAGCTCATAGCATCACTATACATCATCACTATAGTTCATATCATAACTACACAGTTCATAGTATCACTACACATCATCACTACACAGTTCATAGTTTCACTACACATCATCACTACACAGTTCATAGTTTCACTACACATCATCACTACACAGTTCATAGCATCACTACACGTCATCACTGTAGTTTACATCATCACTCAGCTCTGTAGTAGCGGGTAACCTCTTACTACATTCTTTCACAAGTGCCTGAGGAGCCTTGGGCTCCTGGGGTGCCTTTATTATATACAGTATATATATATATAAAAGATTTTCTTTCCAAAATGTGTGATCAGTACAAAAGATTTTTACAAGAAGCCACCAGTCAACTCCGAGGCATGGACGCCGAGTTAGCCAAGACTTACACCACTTTAAGTGGTGTAAGGGTTGTGGGCTACAGCGTCTCCCTTGAAATTCCCGCCAACACAAACCTAAACTTTGTGTTGGATAAAATTGCAGATCTGGAAGACCTCCGTTACCACAACATGACCGTAGTACAAGGATGCTCGTACCTACGGCACGAGGTAAAAAAACTGGACAAGATTCCATATAAGGGGATAATGTTTTATTATTCCGCCTTGACCGGAAAACAAACTAAGAACAGGTACGTCAAATTTGAATACGTGGTGAATCCACCACTGGCGTTGCAGAAATTCAAAATTTGTTTCAAAAAGGAAAGTTTCGATAGAGAAACTATTTGCTTAATGCATTACTTTATTACCGACTCAGTGAAGCTGCTCACCTCTCACCCGTCCCCCTGCACCACAACAAGTGAGAGTCCCCAGGTGACCACCGAAGGGGACACTCCCCAGGTGGTGGTCACCGACAGTGACACTCCCCAAGAGGTTGTCACCGACAGTGAAAACCTCCAGAATGTGGTCACCGACATTGACACTCCTCAGGAGGTGGTCAACGAGAGTGACACTCTCCAGGAGGTGGTCACCGACAGTGACACTCCCCAGGAAGTGGTCAAAATGGGAGAATACGACAAACGTTTTTTCCTGGCAGCTGCTAGCAAACTCCGTAGCGTGGTCGACGAGTTAGCCGAGGCTTACACAAAGTTAAATGATGTAAGGGTTGTGGGCTACAGCGTCTCCCTTGAAATTCCCCCCAACACAAACGTAAACTTTGTGTTGGATAAAATTGCCGATCTGGAAGACCTCCGTTACCACAACACGACCGTAGTACAAGGATGCGGGTACCTACGGTACTAGGTCAAAAACCTGAGAATCTTACCAGACAAGGGGATAATGTTCTATTATTCCGCCAAGTGCGGAAGACAAACTAAGGAGGGGTACGCCAGATATGAATATGTGGTGTATCCTCCAGTGGTGTTGAAGAAATTCAAATTAGACTTTCAAAAAGAATGCTTCAACACAGAAACTATTTGCGTAATGCTAGATAATGCTATTAAATCATAGCAGCTCATCAACGAAGGCCTTGCCTCCTTCACCACAACAAGAGACAGTCCCCAAGTGGTCACCGACAGTGACGCTCCCCAGGAGGTAGTCACCGACAGTGACGCTATCCAGGAGGTGGTCACAGACAGGGGCACCGCCATGGAGGTGATCACCGACAGTGACATTCCCCAGGAGGTGGTCACCGACGGTGACATTCCAGAGGAGGTGGTCACCGACAGTGACACTCCCCAGGAGGTGGTCAACGAGAGTGACACTCTCCAGGAGATGGTCACCGACAGTGACACTCCCCAGGAAGTGGTCAAAATGAGAAAATACGACAAAAGTTTTTTCCTGGCATCTGCTAGCAAACTTCGTAGCGCGGTCGACGAGTTAGCCGAGGCTTACACAAATTTAAGTGGTGTAAGGGTCGTGGGCTACAGCGTCTCCCTTGAAATTCCCGCCAACACAAACCAAAACTTTGTGTTGGATAAAATTGCAGATCTGGAAGACCTCCGTTACCACAACATGACCGTCGTACAAGGATGCGCGTACCTACGGCAAGAGGTAAAAAAACTGAGAAATATCCCAGACAATGGGATAATATTCTATTATTCCGCCAAGTGTGGAAGACAAACTAAGGAGGGGTACGCCAGATTTGAATATGTGGTGTATCCTCCAGTGTTGTTGAGGAGATTCAAAATAGCCTATCAAAAAGAATGCTTCAATACAGAAACTATTTGCATAATGCAAGATAATGCAAAGATAGTATGGGGGGTCATCAACCAATGCGTTGATTCCTTCTCCTCAACAAGTGACAGTCCCCAAATGGTTACCGAAGCCGGCGGTCCCCAGGTGGCCACCGAAGAGGAGAGTCCCAAGGTGGCCACAGAACAGGAGAGTCCCCAGGTCGTCACCAAAGGGGAGAAAACCCAAATGGTCACTGAAGCCAGCGGTTCCCAGGTGACCACCGAAGAGGAGAGTCCCAAGGTGGCCACGGAACAGGAGAGTCCCCAGGTCGTCTCCGAAGGGGAGAAAACCCAAATGGTCACCGAAGCCAGCGGTCTCCAGGTGGCCACCGAAGAGGAGAGTCCTCAGGTGGCCACCGAAAGGGACACTCCCCAAGAAGTTGCCCGTAGTGCTGCTGCCCAAAAGCCCAAGGCCAAAAGGCCTCCTCACCAGGCCAAGAATACTTTGGTCCCAGGGGCCACAGGTAATCTCAAATCAAAGGCTGAGCATCCAACCAACAGGGTCGCTGAAGCCCGTAAAGCTGCTGCCCAACAGGCCCGGGCTAATAGGCCTCCTCACCAAGCCAAGAATACCTTGGTCCCAGGGGCCAAAGGTAATCTCAAATCAAAGGCTGAGCACCCAACTAACACGGTCGCTGAAGCCCGTAAAGCTGCTGCCCAACAGGCCCGGGCTAATAGGCCTCCTCACCAAGCCAAGAATACCTTGGTCCCAGGGGCCAAAGGTAATCTCAAATCAAAGGCTGAGCACCCAACTAACACGGTCGCTGAAGCCCGTAAAGCTGCTGCCCAACAGGCCCGGGCCATGGGCAAGGAGCGCCGCCTGAAAACTGCTATGAAACAAAAGTGATTAATAATCCACGTTGTTTTCTTTTTGTTTATGTTTTTGTGAAAACTAAAAATAAAGTATAAATTAATATTTTTTGTATTATTACTCCACAAATAACTTATAAACCATCTCCTGCATACAATTCTTACTGCACTTACTTATATCACATATATACAGGACTGGTAATTCCTGGGTATAAATAACACTTTAAAATAGCCCAACTCTCATACACAAACATATCACTCACCGGGGTATTCTGTCTTGCTGTTCAAGCATTTTCCTAGTTTAAGGCCAACAATATATATATATATATATATATATATATATATATATATATATATATATATATATATATATATATATATATATATATATATATATATATATATATATATATTTGTATATATATATATATATATATATAAACTTTAAGGTGTATTCAAATATTATTAACTTAGCGACTCTTATGTAAATATATATTCGAAACTACAAAACAGCATCAACATAAACTAATCCCAGACAAACACATACATACATACTGTAGATACTTCACCTATCACAATTTTCCCTAATGAATTTCTTACTTTCCATTACGTAATATCCAATACTAGTCTCACCGTCCAGCCACAAACACCCCTCTTCATTAATGAGCTGTCTTAACGGTGGGACTACCTCTCTGGGGGGCTGAGGGAGCATAACTTACCTGGGCAACACGACGCAGGTAAGGAATGTCACTCACTCCTCAGCCACAAAGGTGATATTCCTCTGTGTTCGATATTGAGAGTAACCAGGACTACTAATTCTCTCTGTAGAATTTATGAGTTATGTGTGTGGTCGAGAGAGAGAGAGAGAGAGAGAGAGAGAGAGAGAGAGAGAGAGAGAGAGAGAGAGAGAGAGAGAGAGAGATGAAAATTGTGCACAGTTGATTAGAACATGAAACAAAATGTGTTTCTGATCTCTCTCTCTCTCTCTCTCTATCCACACACACCAGATACAGAGGATAAACCTAAGCATGTAGTCAGCTTCTCTTCCTCCCTCCTTCCCTAACCAGCCTGGCGTGGAGAATGGGAAAATGAAAGCACAAGCCCCCTCCCTATCCCCCCCCGCCTCTTCCTCCCTCCTTCCTCTCTTCCCTCCATCACCAGGGTTGGAGCACGTAGCCTCAATAACATCCTCCTCCTCCAGCTATCAACTCCCGTGAATTGTTTTTCGTCCATTAAAGTTTCAACAAGTTCTCTCCGTTAGTTTTGTTTTTAGTTGGTCCGTGATAATGGCAGGAAGCAAATTGTCAATAAGTGTAGCACGCATCACCAGGAGGCGCTGTTGTATAAGATGTAGTACATGGGGCCCGCTGTGTGTGTGTGTGTGTGTGTGTGTGTGTGTGTGTGTGTGTGTGCCATTATCCCCCCTTTTTTTCCTTAAGGAATGAAAGAAAAATTAAAAAATATTCAGGTGAAAGAAAGCTCCAGCGAAAATAAACAAACTTAAAGTCATACTCACGAGAGGGCAATATTTATCCTGAGTTTCCGGGGTAGTCTCTCTCTCTCTCTTACCGCATATATACCTGAACAACTCCTTAAATATAGCAACCTCTCCTAGATACTACATTATATAACGTCCAGTATATAGATATATGCAGACGGCAGATGGACTTGATGAAACCAGAGCCACACTGTGATTGGTCGTTGCCAGTCTTTCACCGCCAATCACCTCAGCCTATTATTATTATCATATATATATATATCAATATCACTATAACTCTCAATATTCCAGTCACCTCTCATAATAACATACTCTATTTAGCTGACCATCAAATACCTCACCAAATTATACCAATTCTCTATATATTTTTCCTCAACATTAAACCGATATTGGACTGAACTCAAAAACCTATCACTCTTAAACTTTTCAATTCATTTTACAACAATCTGGTAATTGGGGTGTATATCAGCTCTATGTTGGGGCTGACAGGCTCCCGAATCAACAGTCCAATTACTGGGAGTCACTCAACTAAAAAATTTCTGGTCCCCAAATTTCATAAAATTGGTAAAGAATCGCGTCTTTATTTTCACGGTTTGGTGGTTGACGTCACGGTGAATACTCTTTTTCCTTCATACAAATATATGACTTTTTTTTGGCACAAAGTTACTTAAACTACACTCAAATGTTCTTGTAATAGATCGATTTTTAATATAGTTAAACTGAGATACAATTAAGCATATATATAAATATTTTTTGTTACATATTGAATAGTATATAATTTTTGATAAAAATTAGCACGATAAATCTCCGACACACTTCTTAACTAGACACGTTCACTTAACACCATTTAGGAGTGCTCTACCTTAACTAAAGACGTTCAGTTAATACCAGTTTGAGCTTCCAAATTAAATACAAAACGTTAAGAGAAAAAAGAAGGTATCATAAGAACGCCTGAGTGAACGTGGTGGTGTGTGGGTCTAAACGTGATGTTATAAGACGGAACCAGGTGATCAGGAGAGGGAAGGCGGCGGCAATGTTGCAGTTTTTACACCACATTTGGGCGACAGTCAGCGTTTAGTACACTCTGGAGACACACTAAGGTCCTCGTGTTACACCTTCCAATATTACCCTCCCGTGGTGCAGAGCAGTGCATAGCGGCGGAGACGTGTAGAGTATAGCTAGAGAGGAGGGAAGAATAATAGAGGGCAGAGGAAGGGAGAATAGAGAAGACATTAGACAGTACCTGAATGTGTAAACAATGTCCTCCCGACCAGCTGACCTTCTAGTGTTTGTCTAGTCGGCTCATCCAAGATCCAAAGAATACGAGTCAGATCACTTTGTCCTCCCGCTCAGGTTTGGTGACGTCACACAGCTGTTCTGTGGGAAGGGTAGGTATAACTATAACAACTATGGCAACACTCAAGGTCTCTCTCTCTCTCTCTCTCCATCACAGGACTTCCAACACATCCAACGATGACCCGTGTGGACGTCACTGCTCGAGGGTTCAGGACGCGGGAACAGATAGCCTTCTTTGATATCAAGATATTTGACCCCGTGGCCGCTTGTCTAAGACATCGAGGACACACACACACACACACACACACACACACACACACACACACACACACACACACACAAGAAGCTTCAGGACACTTAATTATAATGATGGGTCGCAACTATATCATTCTTAATGATTCGTAAGTTAATCCGTCACTTTCGTATGTTTCTCTCTTTATCTGTGTCTCTCTTTATCTCACATTTTCTCTCTCTTCCTATTTTTGAAAACCACTATCTTTCTCTCTCTCTTTTTCCTTGTCTTTTTATGCTTGTCTCTCTCTCTCTCTCTCTTTTCCCCTTTCGTTCTCTTCATAACTTACATCATTACTCTTCACCTGTCTCCTGTCTCTCTCCACTTCTCGTTTCTTTTCGTTTCAAACCCACAGAATATCCTTAGTCATTCTCACTCTCTCTATGTTTCTCTTTTATAATTTCTTCCCCTTTTCCTTTCTCCATCATAAGTCTTCCCCCCCCTCTTTCCTTCTCTCCATTACTTATCTTCACCTATTTCCTCTTTCTCTCTCTTCACCTCCCTCTGCTCTCACTGTCACACCCACAAAATGTCTGACTGTGAGTAATAGTCATGTGTGTGAAAGCTTTCTCTCTCTTTCACCACCGCCTTTATTCCTTCCCCCTTTATCATTACTTCTATTCGCTTCCCTTCTCCCTCATTACCCTTTAGTTCTCAACACACACACACACACACACACACACACACACACACACACACACACACACACTTTTTCACTCATTCTGTCATTTATTTCCTCTTATAATTATTACTTAAGTTTCTGTTCCCTCTTCACCTTCATCATCATCATCATCGGTATTTCTCTCTTATTCCTTCCCTTTACGTCTTGTGAGTTATTTAATTATTTATGTGAGTCTGTATGTTTGTCTTGACTCGTTCATGAGACACTGAAGTCATTATTACCCAGTGCCAAGAGGTGTTACATGTGGTTAGTGGGTGTTACATAGATAGATAGATAGATAGATGAATAAAGAGAGAGAGAGAGAGAGAGAGAGAGAGAGAGAGAGAGAGAGAGAGAGAGAGAGAGAGAGAGAGAGAGATCACTACTTGCCACTATTTTTTCAGCTCACGACACAATATTGGTGAGAGAAATGACAGCTCGACACCAACAGTTATTATAGGTATTGGGACATTTTTAACAAGGTGTTGTAGAAGACCAAGACTAACGGTATAGGGGTAAAATAACAACCCCACAACAACCCCACACTCAAATCCAAGAGGTTGTAACTTTGGATAATGATGACTGAAAGTATATATATACAGGGTGATTCAGCAAAGAGTATACATTAAATTGGAGGATAAAATCTTTGGATAATTCTAAACCCCAATGTCTCTATGGTAAAAGGTCATATTCTGCATAGTTTCCATGTTACAATACATTTAAGATGTTGTATTAATGAGAGTGAATTTGATGTGAAACTTCTTCCCCCCCCCCCTTGTGACTGCCTCTATTTCATTCGGTCGTACACGGTCCCTCGGTCGTACACGGTCCCTCGGTCGTACACGGTCCCTCGGTCGTACACG